CAACAGTTTGCATTATGCAATTAAAAATCCTAACCAATAAAGTAGGGAATAGCTATCCAACTGTTGTTACCTTCGCCAAGAAGGTTATGTTTTCAGGGGCGTTCGTGTATGTGTGTGTGTGTCTGTCTGTCTGTCTGTCTGTCTGTCTGTCTGTCAACACGATAACTAGAGAAGGTCTTGATGGATTGTCTTGATACTTGGTAGGTGGGTAGGTCTTGATGAGACCTCAAAATGATTAGATTTTGGGCCACCTGGCGGCTTGTCATGGTACTGCAGCAGAACTTCCGGTTTTGATATCTCATGATCCAGACATGCTAGGGTGACGAAATTTAGATGGTAGATAGCTCTTGTGCTGGGGATAAAGTGACATGAGTTTGAGCCCCCTAGTTGCTTGCTCTAGAACTGTAGGGGGGTTTAATGGACAAATGTTTAAAGGGGGATAACTCAAGAACCGATGGATGGATCATCGTGATTTTTGGTACTAGTATGTAGGTAGCTTGAGTGATGCTTGACATAATGATATTACAATTATGCAAATATAGATGTAATTTGCATAATTAATGAGGAAATTCTATTTATCAGCTGCATTCCATAATAGGAAGTTCAAGCTTGTGACATATGTTAGTAAGAATGAGAGAAACACAGGTAGATATCAATTATGCAAATGAAGACTTAATTTGCATAATTAATGAGAAAATATTATAATTGCATAGTGGTAACTGCCTGGAATTTTATACTTGGGGTGTTTGAAAGTTAAGTTAAGGTGAACATAATTAAACATAACTTATTCAAATAAGGACCTCATTTGCATAATTTATGAGAAAATTTCATCATGGCATTCTTTGTTAAGATAAGACTGTCTTTTGGTGGAGAATATGATCAACAGATATAATTCATGCAATTGAGGATCCTATTTGCATAATTAGGGGGATTAATATATAATTTCTTAATCATAAAAGCTAACATCATTTGGCGAAGGTATGAGATCGTGGAACTCTAGTTTTAGTTGTATGTTACTTCATATTATAGTTATATCAATGTAAATCATTGTTTTCCCTTGTGTTTCTCATTCTTTCCCTGCCATGTGGTAAAATGTGGTGAACCCATCGCTGTATTTGCTCCAAAGCAAATATTGGCCTTTCTAGTTTGTTTTTTTTTCGCCCACCCGCTCCATTATTTTTCTAGAAAAATCCATTAACCAAGAAATCAAATTGGTGTGGCCTTACTAGAAAATTCTTTCCTTCAGGCTGATCTTCTGAAGTCCTGCTATCTGCGAGGTCACATGGTGTCTTACGGCCATGTAACCATGGCATGGTACAACAGCTGTATTGATGTGGCTATACAGGCCATACAGCATGCTCAAACAGAGGGAGACAAGGTTACACAACAACTCACCAAAAGCTTCTATCAGTGTACTCAGTCTAAAAGTCAACACACAGGTGGGTCTGTAGTTGTAATTTTTTTTATTGAAGAAATTTCTTGCTAGTATTTTGTAATATTATATATAATTATGAAAGAACCCAATGTGTAATCCAGTTCAGGGTACTACATGTAAGGCCACACTGATTTTTATGGATGACATCCTCTGAAGACCCTCAAACTAGACTATGCTGCTAAGCTGGTATTGTGAATTTGTGGAAGTACATAGCAACTTATACAGCAAGCTGGCACATGCTGGCCTTTTGCGGCATTTAAGAGTCAGCACTGTACTGAGTTCTTGAGTTCTGTGGATCAGCAACCTTGATCAGCTCCCTACTGTCACTAGCTACATGTACCATGGACGCAGGTCAGAGTCTCAGAGGAGGTGATTTTTCTTTTGAGAACAGGTGAAAATCAATGCTCGCGCAGATATCATCCATAAAATTAAAACAGTTTGGCTTAATTTGATGTTAGCAGTCCTGAACTGAGGAGTAATATCAAGTAAAAGCCAGTTGCATTTTTTCCCATGCAATTTTCCTCTAGGTGAAAGAGCCAGAATTCAGTGGTTGCTGGAAGTTATGGGACAGTGCAGGAACATTGCTTACGGGAAGATCCCACTCTCACAGACTCAGTCATCAGACAGCACAAACAAGGTTAGTAGCTGCACACCCAAGTTTCTGTCCTCAATCTTTGCTTATTACTCTGTGAGGGTCAGTAACCTCAGCAGAGTATGTATGATTGTGTGTTTGCAGCTGTAACTCACAATCCCTTTGCTCAGGGCTCGAAATACTGGGTGCATGTGCACCACCTTAGTGCACCCAAATTTGGAGCTGTGCACCCAATTTTCTTCTGTTGGTGCACTGGTGCACCCAAATATTTTTGCAGGTATTTTAATTTGTACATATCAAATTATTATAGTATGCAGGATATTCCTATAGCATCTAAGTGTCAGAAAAATAATTATAAAATCTTTGTTGTAGTACTTAAGATTTCAGAGTTAGCCCCCATTTCAGGTTCAAGCTCATAAGAGGAGTAGTAAGATCTATAATTAGGTTTTGTTTTATATGGTGCGCCCGGAAAAAATTTTGTGCACCTATTCCCAAAAATGAATTTCCAGCCCTGCTTTGCTGCATTGGTAGTTTGGCATGTCAACTGCATGAGATGATGCACATTTTTTTATGCCCATATAATATGATAGCAGTTTTTATAGGTCATAACATTTTAGAAAACACCCCTATTTTGGTGAGCTTGTGGAACAGGTCATTAATTTTGTTTGCCTTTGTGGGTGTGCGATAATAGCAGCTTTCCAAGCAGATATTTGGTAATTTGAGCCAATGTTCTTTTTTTCAGGTGACCAAATTCCTGTTTGATGTATTCTGTGCTGCTGTTACGTGTTGGAGCTGTGTTAGTCTGCCTCTGCTGTGGGGAATCACTGGGACTGATTGTCAGACAGGTAAGGCTACAGCAAGTAATTTTTATGGATGACATCAGCGCGCGCATTAATTTTCGCTTGATTTTGGAAAAAAAACAAGATATTTTTTTGCCTTCTGACAGTGGTCAACATGCCAAAAATGGGCAAAGATGTCTGTTGCCATTCCGGAAGGTGGACGGCAGATAACTATGAAGAGAGGAGACAAGAAAAGGCTCTGATTTAATGTTTTGTTTCTTACTTTGATGCAGTGATATGTGATGTTGGCTGTGTATATTTGATGTTCCCACTGAATCAAAACCATTTGTACAATGATTGAGTCAAAATTTTAAAATGTAGGAACCTTGTTTTTTTCTGCCCACCTTGTTTTTTTTTCGCCCGCTCGCATTAGGTTTGGAGTCTGCGGAGGATGTCATCCGTAAAATTTACTTGCTGTGGCCTAACATCAGTTTTCATGGCTCAAGTTGTACAGTATCTCCTTAGGCCACACCAATTTGATTTGTTGGTTCTCGTAATATTCACCTCTTTTTTTTTCTGATTTGCAAAAATGATCATATTTTCCTTTTCTTCCTAGTTGTTACAGTTTTTCCATCTATTTATGCAGTGGTTAAAAATATTAACCCAGCCTTTTGTGTTGACTTCATGGCTCCTATCGTATAGCATTTCGAGCTTTAGTAGGATGCCTAGACCTGTTTTTATTTTCATTTTTTTCCGCCCTGTTGCTTCATATTTTTTATGAAAAAATCCGAGAACCAACAAATTAAATTGGCCTTATCTTTCTAGGCATGATTCCTATAAAATTTTCAAATTTTAAAATTAAAATTTTTTAAAAATAATTTTTAAAAAAATGTACAGCCCTGGAATTCAAACTCCACAGTTGTGTAACTTTTGTATCTGTATCGGTATAGCCGGTATAACCGCCCTTCGGCGTAACACACCAGCTTCGCAGGTACGCGGTGCGGCAGCAGCTAGCTATATCACACCGAACGGCTTGTTACACTCAATCTTTGCACATTTGATTGCAGGAGTTGTTTAAAGCTTTCTAGTGATGATGCCCCAACTGTGCTTGGTGGCAACGAGTTCCAGTCTATGATAGCTCTGGGGAAGTACGAGTTTTTGAATAACTCAATTCTTGGTTGATAACTCTGATATTTGAAGGCATGACTGTTTCTTGTTCTTTTCTGGGCTGGTATCAGATACTTAGTGGTTGGTACGTCCACCAGTTTATTAGCCATTTTGTACATCATGCACAGTCTGGACATTCTACATCTGTCTTCCAGCGACATGTGTTGATGTCATGCAGTTTTGTAGCCTGCTATCCAGTCTCTCGTGGTTGAGGCAGGCTGTCTTTGGGCTCTAATAGTTCCCCCCCCACCCCCCACCCCCGTCCAGCTCAACAGGCCACCCAGTGGGAGTGTTACGCCTGTGATAGAGTTTTGTACGCCGGAAGTTGATTAGCCCCACCCATCGTGCAAAACCTACCAGGGAACCTAGCTGAGTCAACAGCTACCAGTTCAGTACCAAGGAGAACCATCATCTACAATTTAAAACACTTACTGTCTACATTTTGGGGGCTTTTAGGCCACACCAATTTAATTTCTTGGTTAACGGATTTTTCTAGAAAAATTATGGAACGGGCGGGTGAAAAAAAAATAAAAATAAAACAGGCCTAGGCATTCTATTATGGCCAAAAGTGGTATGATGGGAGCCATTTATAGTCAACACACCAGGCTGGTTCAAAATTTAAACAATGAATTTTGAACTATTAAATGATACCACTGCATTGAAAGATGGAATAACTGTAACAACTAGGAAGAAAAGGACTGTTTTCAACTGTTCAGGGCAAAATATGAGCATTTTGCAGTTGATTCTGAATTTTTATTTTTATTTGCAAATCAGAAAAAAATGAAGTGGGCGAATCCGTTAACCAAGAGATTAAATTGGTGTGGCCTTAAATAAAAAAAAAACTTAAACTGTTTTAGCTAACTGTTCTGTTTTACTACAATCCAGCTACCCAGTCTGCAGACACTGCAGAGTGGTCCTCAGAAAGCAGAAAGCTGGAGACATTACCACTCTTGCCATATGCTATTCTTCGGCTGGTAGCATCAGAGCCTTGGGCCCAGGTTGTGGATAAGGTACAAGATCATGTCCAGTTCTGAAAAAAAGCTTTTGTTGGCATATTCTGCAAACCAAATTAAATAGTGAATAGCAAAGTTCTTAATTAAATCAAATAGTATTTAACTCTGTGTATTCAATATGAAACCTTATCATAACTTCATTGTAAATTGTATTTATAGTGGCAAGAGATTTGTTAAATGTTGCCTTTTTCTTGGTTCTATTTTAACACAGATTTTTCTGTGGACTCGACAAAAGTGCATTACAACTAAGATTGAACAAAGCTAAACAAGTTGAGTTTGTATGAATAATTTAAAAGTGATCCTAATTACAAAATATGTAAGCATAGGACCTGGTGTGTTTACACTGTGTTAACATATAAATGCAATTGAATTACAATGTAATTGAATTACAAGATACCCCTATGGGAATTAACTACAGGGGCTTTCACCATACACTGGTCTCTAGAACCTTATTCACGAGTTTCCCATCAAATAGAGAAATTCTCTATTTGATGATTTTTTTTAAATATTTGGCTTGTAATGTTATAGACGCTATACTGATGCTGTAACGTTACAAACCACATATTCCATGTTAAAAAGAACACAAAAACTTCATATAACTTCTATTTGTTGTCAGATTTGACCCATAGTAATTTAATTAATGTTGAGCATAAAATGCCCCAACACCTCAAAACACAAAAGCAAGCTGTTTAACGTCAACAGGATCATTCCGATGCCTTCCTGTCCTATGCAAATGAGGTTTAGACCCGTTTTCGCAATGCATTCTGGGGATGGGAAACTGGTGAATGGACATGAACTTTGACCTTGTATTTCTTCCTGTTTGCAGCTTGTTGATTGGCTGATGGAGATGCTTCAGGCTCCGGTGGATCTTCCCAAGAAGTACAGGGCAGCTCTGATGGGTAATCACAATTATCTTTTTTTATGACTTCACCACCTAGTGGTGATGTCATATTGTTTTTGCTCACGTTTCTTCTCCTCCTCCTTCTCCTTCTTCTCCTGCCATTTCTTTGAATTGATTCAACTCTTTCATTTTTGGGCCAAATAACATGAAATTTGGCATGAAGGTAGAGTGGGCAAATACCCCCAGGCGTTTTTTTTTTTTCATTTTTGTGATACAGGCTTTTAGAATGGTTTTATTTGAGCTTTTTGGCTGTGTTATACTACATGTACTATAGCAGTGTGTTACCATACTTGGGCATGAGTCATCAGAATGGAATGTAGAGCAGGCAACCAATAGGCATGCAGCTTCCCTCTATTCTCTTTGCTGGTTGGCTGTTCGGATCTGATTGGGTTAACTCAATTATCACCTGTACAAAGCCATGCCATATTGACAGTATGAACTTTATTCAAGTGTTTTGGGGTCGGTATGTAAAACTTTCTTGCTCCAGCATTGGAATGCGGGGCATATAAACGCTTCTTTTTGTCTTGAAAATCAACAGTTTGCATTATGCAATTAAAAATCCCAACCAATAATGTAGGGGATAGCTATCACTTCACACTATAGTTATATCAATGTAAAGAATTGTTTTCCCTTGTATTTCTCCTTCTTTCCCTGCCATGTCTGAAATGTGGTGAAGTCATGCTGAATTTGCAAATGTCTGCCTTTCTAGTTTTCTTTCTTTTATCAGACTTTGGCAACCTCTAGTGATCCAAGTTATACAATACAGTTTAACAACTTAAATCTTGTACGAGTGCACTTATATTTTCAAGGTCAATGTTGGAAAACTGATTGTACAACATTCTATTACTCAGGTGTTAGATCATGGAGCTAGAAAAGGTCGATCAGCTCGAAAACTTGCAGGGGTCCATCCAAAAAAAGGCTAGGGTCTGCAGTTTTTTCTGGGGGGGGGGACACGAGATTTTTTTGCCTAGGCCTCATGTACATTTGCAAGTGACTCATGTTTTTCATAAAACACAGTTTTGTATTACCCTGTGAGAATTGTTTGAAATCAACATACTGATTATTGTAATGTGTGCTTCCTGTAGGGTCTGTGCTGGCCTTACGACATATGACGGTGTTCAAGAAGCCCTCAGTCTGGACAAGAGCTTACCAGATGTTCTGATTTTCTGCCATGGAATTGTACTCTCCAAGCAGAGGTTTGGGTTTTGGGGGTATTTTTAGAGTGTTTTTCGGCTTTTTTATCGGGGTTTCTCTTTTGCACTGAATTTTTTTCCCACCAAACCCAACCTCTGCTGGCATTCACCCCGGGGCGGGGCAAAACTATTCAAGAAACGTGACAGTGCTCCTCCCCGGGAATCATCAAATTATCATTAGGGATATCCATTTTACTGTGGTGGATTATCACACATCTAGCCAGTCAGAAAGGCATTCATTGGGCCACACGCCACCTGCTGACTGTGCCTATTCATGCGTCTGGTTCACACCTCCTTGCAGAATGACTGAAATGTGTTGATGATTCAGAAGTAATTAGGTTTATAGCCCATTGAAGCTTTTGACTGCCGGCAAAGGTTGGGTTTGGTGGGGAAAAAAATTCAGTGCAAAAGAGAAACCCCTATAAAAAAGCCAAAAAACACACTAAAAATACCCCCAAAACCCAAACCTCTGCTTGGAGAGTAATGGAATTGATGTATGATGTATAAGGCCACACCAATGTAACTTGTTGGTTCACGGATTCGCTCGCTTAAAAATTCAGCCTCTGAATCAACTCCAAAATGCTCATATTTTGGGTCCAACAGTTACAGGAAGTCCCTTCTCTTCAGAGTTGTTACAGTGTTTCCATCCATCAATGCAGTGGTTTGATTAAAAGTTTGAAATTCATTGTTTGAATTACGAACCAGCCTGGTATGTTGACTTCATGGCTGCTACCATAGCTTTTAGTGCTATCATAGGATGCCTGATATAACTTTTTGCTTTTGTATTATTTCGCCATCTCTTCATATATTTGCTTTAAGAAATCTGAGAACCAACAAATCAAAGTGGTGTGGCATAAACTCAAGTTTAAAACCATAGGTCCAGGGTTGAGAAATTGGTATAACCCATTCGTGCCCAAGGTACGTTTGAATTTATGAAATATCTAGAATCTATAAAAAGCAACTGCCTCGTGCAAGACTTGTCACAAGTTCAGCTACTGAGTACATTGTATGGCTGTTAAATTTCTCACTGCTTAATGTGAAATTTGGTAACATAATGTAATTCATTATTCTGTCCACCTTTTAGGCTTTTTATGTTTACCGAAGGAAAACACATTGTTTTTGCTCTGTTTCTTCTGTTTATATTGTCCTTGGTTTCTTCCTGTTCTTCTTCTCCAGTGACCTCTGACCTGACCAATGACGTGATTTGTTGATGTCTGTCACCATAGTGACTGGTGTTGGGTTACATAATGTTGCAATTTCACAGTCTGCTCTACTCCTGTCACCATGTAACGTTACTAGTAGTACATTTATGTGAATGTGTTTGAGTAAAAATTAACAGAGAAGACCATGTCCAAAGGTAAACATTACGCATTTGCTTTGCAAATGTTACTTCTCTAGTTGAATTTTGTGCCTTTGTGCTAAAAGCATCTGTCTTATAATCCTTGGAATAAAAGATTTTGTGTGGCTTCAGGCTAGCTGTTCTTTTTCTTGCTTGTGCTTCATGATATCCTTTTGAAACTTTTTTGTGCTTTTCGTTACCATTCGTTTTTACTGCCTGTAACAATAGCTACTTGTTATAAAAACCAAACAACAAACTTTTGATGGAGTACATGTACCAGCCACACCTCACGAATACTAGTAATGTGTATGCAGTACATGGAAAGTACGTTATTACCAAACCGAAAATGGCAAAAGCAATTGCCCTGATACGTCATATTACAATAGAAGGTATCAATGGACCTATATACCATTATTACGTCACAGTTTGTTTACCTGTTCTAAAGAACATTCTAGAACGGTCAGTTAAAGAATAAAGATCATTTCAAAGTTTTCAAAGTCAGGTATGTCTGATTTTTGCTGCGTCTAGTTGTGTTGACACAGCATTACATGCCGCATGGGTGATTTAGTTGTGACATTAGACGAAAGTAGTAATGTATTAAAAGCCTTATATTAGGCTAACGCTACACAAACACACACCGCGCTACGCACCCCTGTACAATATAAACGTCGATTGACCAGCATTCATTGATATGTATGGTTAGGAGTAGGTTAGTGCAAAGTCTGCTGGTGTTTGGAGAATTTGGCCGCACCACCCGATTGTTTCACGTTTCAAACATCCTGGCATTGTTGGGAGGTTCGACCATGTTTGACGTATGACTGTAAGGCCACAGCAAGTCAATAAACAATAACCATTTGTCCTACACGTAAGGACAATAAGGTTTTAAGCTATGTCCGATATTTTCTGTAGATTTAATTACCAAATCATCACTCACATCATCAAAACAAAACGATGATGGTCAGACTGACATGTCCCTTAAAAAAATTAGTTTGTTACACATTATAAATAACTCCATAATATACTTTAAATTAAATTAACATATTAAGTACAAACTGATGTACCCCTTTTGCAATCTGAGGCCACAGCAATTCAATTTCTTGGTTCAACGGATTCGCCCGTTTCATTTTTTTCTGATTTGCAAATAAAAATAAAAATTCAGAATCAACTCCAAAATGCTCATATTTTGCCCTGAACAGTTGAAAACAGACCTTTTCATCCTTGTTGTTACAGTTATTCCATCATTCAAAGCAATGGTATCATTAAAAGTTCAAAATTCATTGTTTAAATTTTGAACCAGCCTGGTGTGTTGACTTGATGGCTCCTATTGTACCATTTTGGGCCATAATAGGATGCCTAGGCCTGTTTTTATTTTTTCGCCCGCCAGCTCCATTATTTTTCTAGAAAAATCTGTTAACCAAGAAATTAAATTGGTGTGGCCTGATAAGGCAATAGTAATACAGACATAATGATCAAATAATAATTGACCGACAAGAAAAGCACTGGTCCCATAAATAGGTTTTTAACATATTATAAGATCTTAAATCAAACATGTTGCAGTTTAATTGACTGCCAAACATAACTTCAATATTTGAATCAACAGAAAGCTCTCTCTTGTCTACATACTGTTTATGTACAGAACCAACCATAACTACAATTGTGTACTACTAAGGGACTAGTAAGGCCACACCAATTTAATTTCTTGGTTAACGGAATCGCCCGCTTCATTTCTTTCTGATTTGCAATAAAATAAAAATTCAGAATCAACTCCAAAATGCTCAATACATATTTTGCCCCGAACAATTGAAAACAGTCCTTTTCATCCTAGTTGTTACAGTTATTCTATCTTTCAATGCAATGGTGTCATTAAAAGTTCAAAATTCAGTGTTTAAATCTTGAACCAGCCTGGTGTATTGACTTCATGACTCCTATCATACCATTTTGGGCCATAATAGGATGCCTAGGCCTGTTTTATTTTTTTCGCCCGCCCACTCCATTATTTTTCTAGAAAAATCCGTTAACCGAGAAATTAAATTGGTGTGGCCTAAGGAGAAGACAAATCTTAAGAAGAGGGGTGCTGCTTTAAGACAAAAGGTGGGAGAGAACTTTGTACAGGAACTATAATTTAATTAAAGTTCTTTCATGCAATTTAAGTTTTTTAATATTTGTATACTCAAAATGAGTTTAACCTTCTTGCCGAAGAGTGCTCAGAGAATCAGAGTGCTATGATTAAAGTAGATTCATTTCTTTTACCATTGCTTTTCAAATGAGACTAGACTATATTCCATATTTCCGTGATAATTTCATCAGGTTGGTAAACGAATGAATAGCAAAGTTCTTTGATCACAACCATTTATTTTTCACGAGCTGACGTTTCGATGACCGTCTGTCACCTTCATCAGGGCAATTCTGACTGGTTTACTGTGCACTGACACTAGATGTTACTTGGTGCATAGTGCACTAAAGCATAGTGAACTATGCACTTACCTTTAGTGCACTATGCACC